CTTCGGTCACGTGCAGGGGCTTTCAGCCATTGCGGGGTGAAACTGGTTATTTTACTGAACCAGGATGATCCTGGCTCCTCCTTATTGAGCTGACGAGGCTGAGGCTGTGGGGTGGAGGCAGAATCCGCATTGACAGATTCCGATTGACCGAGAGCGGCATTGGAAACGCTGCTGCCATGATAGTCTTCTTCCAATGGTTCTTGCATAGGTGGGCTTCTTTGCACAACCTTCGGGGATTTCTTCTCATCGAGGAATGCAATTTGTGGACTGGGGACCCGTGGGTTGGGAACATCGGGGCTGGACTGGGAGAGAGGTTGCAAACGAATATGCGCTGGAGTGCGCGATACCGGGTCCTTCATGGGAGAGCTGTTGATGAATTGATTATGTGTCCCCAATGGGCGGGTCAGCACACTCCGAGGAGTACTCGTTCCATTGTAATACCGTGCGCGGTTTGGTGTATCATCTTCTGCAAGCAAAGCAGACAAATCGACTTTTTGTTCACGGAGCTCGCGAACTTTGGACGGTCCAAAGCGCGCTACATAATCATGCTCTGAAGTAGCGTAAGGAGATGAGCTCAGGTAGTCTTGACCTGCGGAAATTGGAGCAAGGTTGCCCAAAGGGCGTGCAACGGGCTGCGGATAAGACTGTACATCATCATGCTCCGGGTGTTGTGAAATATGACTGTGGTCGTTGGCTTCGAGTTGCCAAATGTCGTCATAACCATCATCCTCATCTTCCACGGGCTCGGGTTCGGGCTCGGGTTCAATGTCTTGGGGTACATATGGCGCTGGTTCTGGTACGGGCCCAGGCGCAGAATCATTGTGCTCTTCATCGTACCCATATCCGGTCTCAGATTCAAATTGTTGTTCATGTTCAAATCCGATGTCACCATCATCATCCTCCGCCGCATTCTCGTCGCTATCAATATACACGACCGATCGTGGGTTTGAAGACATCTGAGCCTGGCGGCTGACTTCTTCTCGTTCAAGCTGCCATTGTGCCTCCCGCTGTACCTTTTGGTGGGACATGGGGCTTTGCTGCATGGATTTATTGAACTTGAAAGGTGATGATTGGGCGTATTCTGCGCGCTTCTCGATCTCGTCTTCAAAGGGTTGATCGTGCTCCTGCTCTTCTAATTCTTCATCATTGAAGTCGTTATAGTGATGTGCATCCTGTTCTTCCTGTTCCTGCTCAAGACGTTCCTCCTCAAGGCGGGATGCTGCATTTTCTGCTGCTATAGCCGCAGCCTCATCTTCCTCGGCGAGCATTCGACGCATAGCAAGCTCCTGTCCTAGTCCCATAGCCACTCGGAGTTCTCGCTGCGTTTCGGCGTTGAAGGTGCTGAAAACGCCCTCCAACCGACGTCTTTTGTGACGAGCATTGCTTTTGCCTGACCACTCGTCTACTTGGGGCCTAAAGGGACCTTGGAGGGCCAAGCATAGACGAACAAGTTTAGCCAAACTGGCCAATGTTCTCTTCTTTGGAACAATTGTTGGTTTAGCCGGAGATGATGCGGCAGGGAGTTCAGGGTAGGTGAGCTCGTTCACATGGTTAACAGATTGCGGCTCAGCCGCATGTACAGTGTGCTTCTCCGGAATATGGGCGCTAGGATTGTTGTATAACCTAGGACCCAGGGCCGAAGTGACTGGACTGGATGACTTTTGAGCACGAGAATCACCTCGGAGGTCTTCGATCGTCCCGGGAAGTTTGCGTCTCAGCCGTTCTCCAACTTCCTTTGGTTTGGGACCACCGTTCGTCACAGCGCTGGAGCCAAATCCATGCTGCTTGGCTGATGGGAGTGTATCAAGGGAAATCATAGTGAATCCTTCACTTTCCATGATAGTGTCGAATTCGTCATAATCGTCTACGGGATCTTCAACGGGATCATTTTCAGGATGATGGGTCTCTGTCCTCGAGGGATGATCCACGTTGGCCTGTTGGTTTTGGTTTTCTTCATCGGCCAGCGAAGACGTGGGGGTCGGAGTCGGATATGTGCGCGATTGCGGGCTAGCGGTATTGTGAGAAGAAGCTCTCGACGACAAGATTGCTCTCTCGCGTGTAGGTGATGGCATTTTAGAAGGGGTAGAGTGGATGTTTTCATCATCCAAAAAGTGATGTTCCGTAGCTCCGATAACAGGCGTCTCCAAACTCGTTCGGCCGTACTCACGGCGAGGATTGCCCAGATCTTCCGTGATGGGTTCTGTTGGGTCAGGAAGCTCTGCAATTGACATGTCTGAGTTCCCCCAAGAGTCATCTTCGGAGTCCGCATCCCCTACAAGATTCAAGGGGCTGGCGCGCGCATTACTCCCAGCGAAAGAATCCGTCGGACTGGATCGTTGTTGTCCTAGGTCAGCATCGCTAGCGATGGCATTCGTAGGGCTAGATCGTTGGTGGCCTAGACTAGCTTCACTAGCTGTAGTGTCCATTGGACTGGGTTCGTGTTGGCCTAGACCAGCTTCATTGGTCATTGTGTCCATTGGGCTGGATTGCAGGGCTTGACGGGAATCACTATTGGGAATAATATCCATCGGACTAAAGGGTTGGTCATATTCGACAGTCGGCGTTGGTTGATCATCCAGCAGCTGGAAATCCTGTGATTTGGGTTTGGGTGTGCCCCGTGGTCGGCCTCTTTTGCGTGGTTGTAGCCCAGGAGTATTTCCCGGCCCTGGTGTACTTCCAGGGCGAGGGGTCTGCCCAGCGGCCCCGAGAAACGGGGACAAATTTATGTTAGACTTTCGTGGACGCCCTCGCCGCTTTAAGGGAGTTTTATCCTTCAATGGACTCCTCTCATCCTTCAATGGTATCATCGTCGTCGTGGTCGAGGGTTTTAATCGTTTGCGCGACGGGCTACCCCGGTTCTCGTCGTCTTCGTCTTGTGTGGCTTCGAGCGTGAGTCGGATGCGCCACGGACTGACATTTCCCTCCTGAAGCTTCTCCGGAGAGAGCGACCTTTGTCGACCACCATTGAACTTCATTGTTGGCGACCCGGGGAGTATGACATCGTTGAATTGAATTGAATGCGCGCTTTTTGCGGGACTGAGGCTGACACGCGGTCGCGGTCGTGGTCGCTTGGCCGGAGTTCGTGATTTCGCTATCATAGGAGACATCCAGCTTTGGCGCCCTGCAAAAGGTTTAATCGGTGATGATATCAAGTATTGGGCGTCGCCTGGAGGACCCAGAATATCGGGGGAGGAGCTCTGGCTGCGCGACGAGGCCGACATGGCGGACTCATGTGATTGAATCTCGGGAGGCACGCGTGCCACCAAAGGGGTGGAAGAGCGCACGGCAAGGAATGTGACGACAACGAAAAAGTGTGGTCAGTGTCGTAACTATTCACAAGCTGACTTTATGATACAGAAATAAGAGGGAAAACGCGGGGCAACACCATAAACAAGTCTCCCGATGCGGTACGAAAGAGCGGTCCTCGAGGTGGTTAGGTAAGCAGACCCCAAACAAACACTCTATTATTGGAACACGGTCTTTTTTCCCCCTTTGTATCTTGAAAGATATGTAGAGATATGAGAGGAATATTGGTTTGACTTGCTATCGGCTCAATTCTACAAATCTCCATCGACGTCATCCACACTGGGCACTTGTTTCAATGTCACACCGCAAGCTTCAACGACCAGATGCACACACTCCATGACCATTTTCACATCTTTCTTGGAGATCCTCAACCGCCGTGTTCCTCGGATATGCCAGTAGATCATCCGGGGCATGTCCTGACCCATGACCGCCGGCAAGACCACCATCTCTGTATCCACATCATCCAAAACCTGGCGGTCCGACAAAAGTAACCCATAGGTGATATCGGCAAGCCAAAAGCCAAAGTCAGGATGCTTTTTGAATAACCCAAACAGCGTACTGGTATTATGGGCATATATTGATCTTAACCAATCCATGCCGCGCGCATGATTTGCGTCGTCGCACTGCCAGCCTTCTCGGGTGAAGGAACATTCCCCATCTTCCTCGGACATGACTTTGTTGATGCTGAGGAGTGCCTCTGTCGGTTTAGGGAGTCCGAGAAGAGCAATGTCCTTGAATAGCGCCTCGCGCATGCGTCGAATCAGCTTCCAGCGCGCACTTGTGGTCGAATATGCATGTTGGCTTATCAGGTACAGGTATAGCTGGCCACAAACGTGTGATTCTGGCGTCGTCGAGATTGCACTTAAAGTTGTGAGATACCACTTTTCAGTAGCGATATTGGAGTCTTCGAATTTGGCTTCAATTGTACGAAATAGCTCAAACCAACGGGGTTCTATAGTTGGTTTGTCGACAACGGATGTGCTCATAGTTCGAGTCCAACTGAGTTTACTACGTATTTTCGAAAATGAACAGTTTTTGAGTCCTGAATTCATTAAAAAGACTCTAAACACTCGGGTGATGACGCCAGGCTGAGACCGCACGGTGGCAATCCACGGATTTTAGGTCCTTAAATGCTCTGCAATCCGTGGTTCGCACAACTACAGGTTTATGTTGTCTTGTATTCCTTGTATACAAGAGGCTGCCTTCGCGAGTCCTCTGACTCTCGTCTTAGAAAGTTAACTCACCACCAGTCCAAAGCTACCCTCCGCATTTGTCTCGATGGAGTGGACATGGTTGGCTATATATAGAAATGTCCCCTGTGTGGTTTATGCTTTTGCCGCCTTCATATGCATATGAAAAAAAGACATAAGATAACAAATAAAATGACCCCAGGAAGAACATCCAAAAAGATCTAATAAGATGTCAGTGTGTGCTTGTATTTAGCGTGCCTAATACCATCTTTTTCCAACATTGAACCTTGGAAGGTTACTTCGTCGATGAAGTAACCATGTACCTGAGTACTCTTATCTGCCCGTACCTTCCCCACGTTCCAAAAGCATCTCCACTTCACCAACTTACTTGCGCATCAAAAATCCATTTGTTGACCGGCGGTGACGTCCTGTGGGCAACTATTCCGGCTCCTGATGATACAGTAAGCCTGCAAGAATCGGAGCTGGTCAGCCCTCCTTTATCTGATGGCACCCGCCACATTCATAAACGATGTTCGAACCGATCCAGTGAAGAAGAAGAAGAAGAAGAAGAAGAACATATCCTGCTGTCCTCCGTATCGATCTCCTCACTCTGAGTCCTTTGTCAGTATCCTGGAGCATCTCACCTCTTTCGTGGCGCTCGAGCATCTGGATTCGGGATACCTTTCAGTTGCGATGCCGGGCACTTCAGGCGGCACAAAAAGCTTCTTGCGAGCGTGATATGGCTACATCGTCGGCGGGAAGATTCCCTACCTGGACAAAGTAGGTCTGTTGGTTCCGGAAAACGATCGACCTTCTTCGGAAATGGACCCTTGGTTGTCGCGCGAAACTGCTTTGTCGCAAACTGCAACAACTGCAACTTCAACAGCACCGGGCTATACGACGCTCTATCGGATTGACCAATCTCGGGTCATCAGCTTATTCGACCATGATGCCAGCGTGGATTTTGCATGCCTTACCTCCACACCACCTACTGATTTCTCGGGAAGACAAGCAGATCTCTACTTCACCGTTGATCGAAAAATGGCCGAGTATTATTCCTGCTATCAATCAATCAATCAAAGTTCAATTAACCTGTTGCAGTCTAACTAGTGCGTATGACTATGCAGGCGCTTCATCCAACTGAAGCAAGAACTCGAAGCCAAACGCCGAGTGGGATCACTCCCAGAGTATACAGATGCTGATCGTAAAGAGTGCGGAATCAGCCCATTCTTATACCCCGTAACCCCATAAATCCAAACCCCTATAACCCATACATAAGAAACTAACATATAATGATAGTTGTGGAGTGCACCCTCCACCTTCCAACCCCCACTTCACTCTCTCTCTCTCTCTCTCTCTCTCTCTCTCTCTCTCTCTCTCTCGCACCCTCCCCTGCCTCGGTTTCAATCGATGGTGACGTTGCCCTGGCCAGTTGTTAATTGGCATGTTCGTCGACTTTGGCTGAGTTCTCGTTGCACAGCATCACGTCTCGTCATTGGCTAATACCCATCGTCTTGCACACCTAGAGGCCTGTCGGTTCGTCGTCGTCGTCGTCGTCCTCGGTTGTCACATACTGGAACTGTTGGAGACCTGTTCGGTGCATGAAGTTGACCACGTAGCGGATGGCCTGCGGGTTAGACATGATCTTGTCATAGTCTATCTCTGTGAATGCAATCCCAATTCTCTCTAGCTGCTCCCACAATTTCGTATGCGGAATAATGTATCGTGGACACTGCATCAGAATGTGCCTTGGTGTTTGTGAGCCCTCATCACAATTACATCGGTCAGTCTCAGCTGCCTTGATTTTGAACAGGAAGTGTCGAAGTCCGATCCTCATTGTACGCATCTGAATCAGAATTGCACATTGTGGCTTCGACAGTCCTTCGTATAGTCGGAGTGTCTTCTTGTTTATTATTCCTGCTATGCTAAGCGCCGAAGTATGTACAGCGCAGCTATCATTATCCATATCACTATCCCGAACTCGGTTATCGAGTCCCAGTCTGCACCCAACATCCAGCTTATCTATTGGCCTAGACCTATAAAATCCTTACCAAATCGAGAGGGTTTGAGCCCCGCTATATTCCTAGATTCCGGTAAAAGGTTATCTCGATAGACCTTTCTTTTTATCTTATTAAATCGCTTATTCTTAGTGGTTAAGAAAGTATAAAGTAGTTCAATTTGAGCGTGCGGGACTTGATTGGCGTTCCCATGCTGAGCGACTTACTCCTCGCCGGTGGTGTTGCCTTGAAAATCATTTTCAGTTGAAATTTGAGGGCAAGAATCATGGGTCATTCTGGATTCCGTTCTTCTTCTCAAGTACCTTTCCATATCTCTGGCTGTCCCGAGGACTTTACATTGGTTTCATTGAATGTGAAGACAAACCATACAGCAAACATCAGAGGATTATCTAGAAGCATACACAAAGAAGTGAAGGAATGCAGTTCAGGGTTCATCGTCCGTCACCTGGTGGTATATAACATCAGCAAATCAATTCACCTTATTTTAACAACCGGATATCAAATTTTTAGTACAGATCCAAGAGGTCAATTCTTCTGAGTCGTGGTCTAACGTCGATAGCACTAAGTGAGAGTGTTCCGTCTCTCAACCCACAATCCATTCTGTGGGTTATATTCGAGAGCGTGGAAGCCGTCTTCGTTCCCACTGTACTCATAGACAAGTCCAAGGTTCGGCTCATTATAATGTCCTATAAATTCAAGCCCAAGCTTCAACTCCACACCCAGTTCCAGCTCTTTGTAAACATAAATAGTAAACGGTTCGGCGCGAGCAACCTGTCTGATCCCGTCAACTCTGACCGACTGGAGGAATGTCATAGGCATTCCATCACTGCCAACACCGGTAACCGTGAGATGGCATCTGTTTTGCTCTTGTGTCTCCATGTTGGGACAAGACGCCCTCGCAGACAAAATGGCGGAATAGGCAACCCGAGCTTCTCCATCACTTTCCTCATCAAAGCAGCTGCCTCGGCGAATATATGAAGGTCCAAAGAACTCATCAATAGGCGTTTCCTACAAGGTGTATTCCGCAATCTCAGCGCATTCGTTGTACCCAGCTGCACAACAATGACCTAGTACGAGACAGATCCGCGATTCGTGCTTCCGAAATCCCGAGCTGAAATTTCAGCGGTGCCTTATTTGATATAAGGCTCTGTCAAAAAATTAATTTTGCTTTTCTACAACAATGCCATGCAAAAAAAAAGATAGAGCACGACGGCTGCATGATTCGAACATGCGCCCGCGAACGGAATTGATTTCTAGTCAATCGCCTTAGACCACTCGGCCAAACCGCCGCTTAATGATTTTACGGAAATGTAAGTGATCCATCAGCGAGTAGGTTTAACTGGTACGAATTCTCATATTCTATCAATAACCGTGCCAAATGCCCAACGCACCACCGTGTATTGGTGCGTTCTAGTGGATAACCATTTTTTACCAGACAGCCAATCTGCGATCTACGTATCTTTATAAATGTGCTTTTTTCCTTTGAGTTCGCTTAATATTCCTTATTAAATTAAATAGACTTCCTTTATACTATATATTTCTTCTTATATCTTGCCTAACTAGTTCGAAGGGGTTGAGAAATTTTGCATGGTGTCTACGATGTATATAAGTTTATTTTGTATGACTTTCCTATACAAAAGATACATAGATCGTAAGTTGACTAATTGGTAAAAAATGGTTATCCACTAGGGCACACCAATACACGGCGGTGTGTTAAGCGCTTAGCAGCACGGTTACGTCCAGAGTACAGTGACGCAGCAATAGTGTTAACACCCCTTCGATTACTCATATTCTGCCTGTCAAAAATTCAACTTTTCAATAGCCCCCCCGACTAGTTTCCTGATGAAGCATCTGACTGTTGTGGATTAAACTGAATCTTGTCTTCTATAAAAAGCACTCACTTAAGAAAGAATGTTGAGAAAGTAAGATGATATAAACTTGCTCTTCAGTTTACGATAGGCGGTCCAAAAAGCGGTCTGTCCAAGGGTGTTAAAACATTTGCTGTGTCACTGTACTTGGTCAAACTATATATTCTTTTTATATAGCAAGGCTATGCAAAAAAGATATGAGCACGACGGCTGCATGATTCGAACATGCGCCCGCGAACGGAATTGATTTCTAGCTGTGTAGATTGTTAGTGGATGTTTGATGGACTGGATATCGAAGAGAAACGTACTCAATCGCCTTAGACCACTCGGCCAAACCGCCGCTTAATAATTTACCCGAAAACAGTATGATATATTAAAGAGAGTCTTAACTTTCTCTTACAATAGAGAGAGCAACACGTCTAGAGTACTTAGTCAAACCCGTATATTCTTTTTACGGCAAGGCTATGTAAAGGACGAGATAGAGATCCGCGATTCGTGCTTCCCTAGGCAAGGTCGAAATCTCGAGCTAATATTTTAGCCGGGCTACGAAGACGTCTAGGGGCCAGGGTTCAAAACACCCTTTGATGTCTGAATGCCTTAATTTAGAACGGCAGAAAAATTAAAATACCTGAATTATTATTACATATGCCTTGGTAATCGAAGTACCCTGATTCGGTCTAAAAATGAAGCCTTCGAACTGCATGCAAATTCAGACAACTCCATTATTTCTGGTAGTTGCAAGTGCAAAAGCTTCATCTAGGCAGGTTGATGTATTAGCATTTTACAGTACAGTGACTGTTCATAAGTTTTAACACCACCTTTAGCCCCACTCATATACCGCCTTCCATTATCGCCTATACCGCCTATATCAAATGAACTGGTGGACCTCATTTATCTCGAGTTCATGTCGTGTTTTCGGATGTTTTGAAACATCCTCATAAGACTATACTTACCCTTGTGTAGAAAATCATTGAAAGCTACGGACATTGATATACAACGGTATTGAAGGAAACTTTTTGACCGGCAGAATATTATATAATCAAAGTGGTGTGGGGCTGGGGTGTTAAAATTTATGAATAGTCACTGTACACTGTATTAGGGCGGTGTATAAAGTGGTACTGATTCAGGTATCCAGGTATCAGAATTCCCCTACAAGGGGGTTTTTGAACCCTGGCCCCTATACGTCTTCGTAAGCAGGGCCAAATTTGATATAGGGTTTTGTCAAAAATATACGTTTTTGAATTTCTACGGCAAAGCTGTATAAAAAAAGATAAAGCACGACGGCTGCATGATTCGAACATGCGCCCGCGAACGGAATTGATTTCTAGTCAATCGCCTTAGACCACTCGGCCAAACCGCCGTTTAATAATTTAGGCTAAAAAAATGTGATACATCAAAAAATCGGTTCCAATTTTAGCCAGACTCATGATAAAGTGGGTTTCGGTTTCGGGGGATTCTAAAAAAGTTCCGGAAGACTCGGTAAAATGGATTAGATAATTTATTAATCTCGAGTCTCCCTGTCACCTAGGAGTAGAGGGAGACTCGGGAATATAAAGTATAAGAATAGACGGCCACTTATGAGGCCTTGTCATGTCTTTAGATGTTCTTTCTATATGCCTTCTTATATATCGTAGTAGGAAGACAGGATCCCCACTACGTATTGCCCTCGTCTCTTCTTTTTATTTTCCTATGAATTGTTATGTAAGCGTTGAGTTATGAGGTTACAAGTAGTAGATAGACACATATTGAGAATACACATCCCTACATATCTCTTATTCCACTTCCTGGGCAGTCTACCTGGTTCCCTTGTATGGAAAGTTGGGTATGAAGCTGAACTACGAGTGCTAAATCGACACGTATACCTTAGAGCATACAGCCTTGAGCGTTCCCCTCTTCAATATATATATAGTACGAAGGCGGTAAACAATGCATAATTTGCGCAGAAGACTTTTCTATGTACTCCGTATAACCTTTGATATAACCTTCATTGCGTCCAATCAAACCACGTATACGGCTTTCTGACCGAAAACCTCACCCAATACTATAACTAGTTATATTATAATTATTCCTATGTGATAGGATAATAAATTATGTTTAATTTATCTTTTTATTATACGTAACTAGTGTACTTTTATATAGTATTTCGAGTGACAATTATGAAGATCCGCCATTTCTTGTACGGTAGAGGACTGGGGGCTACTCTAGGCGGCGTTATAAAGTTATACGCAGTATATTAAAAAAACGCGCCAATTCGCGAGTTGAAGAGATTTCTTTATTCTTGAAGGTTTTGATAGCCAATAAGATCCTGCCCTCTTGTTCTCGCAAATTGCTAGAGGATCGGGAGCGAATTGGTGGCATGGTGGGTGGTTGAACTAACTAAGTGCTAATCCATGCACGCATTTTGGGTTGGGTGGCCCACTCGCTTACCGGTTACGTTTATCATTTTACCGAGTCTCCCGGAACTTTTCTTAGTCAAAACTATATATTCTTTTCACGGCAATGCCATGCAAAAAAAAAGATAGAGCACGACGGCTGCATGATTCGAACATGCGCCCGCGAACGGAATTGATTTCTAGTCAATCGCCTTAGACCACTCGGCCAAACCGCCGCTTAATAATCAAATGTTCCTTAACATGTTTTGCTACCGGGCCGCCCATACCAAGTCGCCCCATCCCCACGAAAACGCGTCCATGAATTAGCACTTAGTCAATTCAACCACCCACCATGCCACCAATTCGCGCACGAAGATCTAGAGATTTAATGGAGCAAGAGGGGATTTTACTAGCTATCTAGTCTTTTAAAAATCAAGAAATATCCTCAATTCGTGAATTAACACGCCGTTTTGATATATCCCGTACAACTTTGCGCGACCGCCATATAAGATATATCTTCGTAGGTATATAGAAGAGGTTTACCGCCTTAGTACTAAACGGAATTACTACGCTAAAGATATAAGATCGGATATTAATACCGATTAATTAGGAGGCTTATAGGTTTTCTATTAAATTGAAGTACTCTATGTTTTATCGATACTTAAGAATAATCAACCTTGGATCCTTATAATGTTTTCCGTAATAGTGCTCTAGTTTCTAACTTCTTTAACTAGAGATAAGTTCTGGTTGATATATGGTCGTTGTATTGAGAAACGCCCCCTAGTAACGTTAGCCTTCTTATCTATAGCACCATTCATAGAAGCAAATGAACAGACCTATAAAACGATAACCCGAAAGGTGTATGGTCTTAGTATAGTGATGTAGAAGTTTGACAGCCCCAGGATGCCCCTGCTGCTTTCAGGACGCTCCTGTGCTCCAACAAGTTGTCCGAGTGTGGCTCGGAATGTTTCCAAAGGCTGGGACAGACTATGAATCCCACTGACTATTGTGAAACTGGTGGAAGATCTGCTTTGCTTCTCCTTTGGTGAAGAATTTGCGAAATTCTTCGACAGAGCCTGACAGCACGTAACATACAATTGCCTTGATTATAGCGTCCCCGAACTTAGTCTCGAGAGGTAGAAGGGTAGCCTAGATCTCCCGTCTAACAAATAGAAGTCAGTTAGCATTTTTGTCAATCCAGTTGATAAGGCGAGTTCTCGCAAGCCGTTTTAGAGGAGCAATGTCAAATTTATCGATTTCCATAAAAACGCCGAGGTTGTTCCACAAAACTGCGTGGGACTCTATATCTTCACCCGAAATAGACCTTTTATCTTCAATGTCTGGAATGCCATTTTCATTATAATCTTGAATAGAAAGAAAGGTAATAACTTGTTGAATGGTTGGTAACTCATCGTCGGGTAGGTCGATTTGCGAAGAAGCAGCCCCCTTGCGACACAATGTTACTCATATTAACTAACCTCGACTTATAACGGATACTATTTACCTTGAATTCTCCTTCGACTGCGGCATCGAAAACGGATGATTGGGAACAGACTATGGTGCAGTGTACTCCGAACTTACGGCTTTCACATGATATCGTTAGGTCGGAGTACCTGCCTGATTCCAGGAGGCTTTGCAAGAGTGGTTGAAGATCTGGAAACCCCATATTAAATGGAAGTGGATAAGATAACATGTTAGACAATGTATCGGATATCTATCATCCCGATGGCTTTATAATTGCCCAACTATCCGTATTCCTCGAAGGCATATGAGATCAACACCACGACCCCACGTGTAAAGTGGATGGAAATTCCGGTGGCGGCACGGGTATTTCTGGGAGTGCATGCACTCCCAGGAAGCCTTACTTGGGCCCCAGGAACAGACTTCGGGTGACCAGCTGCCTTTGTCTGTTTATAAACATGGATACCCATGGAGTACAAATGTGCTCAAATTCGTTGTTCGGGGTTTCGCGCTAGGTGGGCTGGGAGTGGTATGAGCAAAACAATTTTAAGGGAATATATACCAGCGCAACCACTAGTAGACCTGGGCAATGTTTAGGCTAGGATAAGGTACAGACGCTTGATAAACTGTCTTAAAACATTTGAGTGTAGATTCGTGTGTAGTATCAGGGAAAGAAAAAGAAAACATGTATTATGCTACCATAATCGAAACACAATATGGTTTCCATCTACTCCATTTCCTGCGCTCGAGAAACGCCCTCAACGGCTGTGTGATTTTGACCTCCAATAGGTGCTCCACATTCAGGGCATCTAGCTTGCTCCATCGGCATACCGCACTCTCCAATAGCAAACTACAGAAATAATTATTTAGCTTATTTGGCTCGTCAAAGGTAACTTGGGGCAATTCGAGGAATGGGAAATTTACTCACCGGATGTCCGTTGATGCAATTGTACCAGTGCCCAGAGTGAGTCGCGATTCCTCCTCGCCCACTAACCATGGCCGTCTTGATTGATTGAAGTTCTTCTAAAGTGACGGTTTCGTATCGCGTTCCCTCATAGAGGCGGACCATCTCCTGGGTCTTTTGTTGGAGCTCAGGACAGTTCCTCAGTTCGTCACATAGTTTTAACGCAGCAGCGAGGAGATCGCGGGTGGTTTGAAAGCGATCTTCAAGATTTTCTAGACCAGTTTTTCCTTTGAGATGTAGATCGCTTGTTGTTTCTCCTGGATGAGAGCGGTGATACCACGCGTCCAGCTGGGCGATCTTGGCGAATGATATGGTCGCCAGGATGACGATGCGGGAGAAATTTCCTTCATTGGCTTGAGTTATCAAGTCTCGGCAATCCTTCAGAACTTGAATCAAGGTTAATGATAGCTTGGCAAAGCTTAGCTGTGGTAGTGTTGCAGATTTTCTGCTTGAATCTATCACTCTAAAGACATCGGTAAACATGACTTCCTTGGACTTAATGTAAATTAGCCGTGCGCCGAGGGTGATTTGGTTGTCGGATTCTCGTGTTGCTATATTCATCGCCTCCATTCGGGCTGAGAGGGAGGCTACATCGTCCCTTGGTGACTTCTGGTAGATGGCAATCGCATCCATGAGCCGTTTCATCGGCTGATTCTCAGCCTTCATGGCTTTGCTGAGAGCTAAAGCCTCCGTTGCAAGGCGCTCACAGGCTGCATATTCTGCTCTATTCTGGAATTTAGTGTCCCCCACCGCTATCAATGCTCGCTTAGAGTTAAGCTTGTCTTCAATGTCATTTAGACGCGATTCAAGGCCTTCAAGGTCTGTGCGACCCTTGATAAGGAACCGCTTACAAGTCTCATCCATAACAGCACGGTTGATAAGACGATTGTAACGTTTCGTCACAAACTGGCGGATGGGCTGCTTACAGTCCGGACACGATGGTATGACACTGGCAAGAGAAGAAGAGACATCTCGGAGACCGTCGAATTTTCCATCTTTATCTCTCGTGTATACTTCATCCAGGCCAACCAATCCATCAACCGACTCACTGGTAAAGAAATGGCCGCATCCAAGCACGATGATAGGATCTTCATCGAGACTGATTTTGGAATAAGTTTTCCATTCGAGTAAGTCAACACGAGCGTCTCCCATGTCGCCGCACTCTTGACACATATTGTTTGGACAGTCTTCCCCGCAGAGGCTCGGGCATTGATGGCCGCATTTGAGGATCTTAGTGCATCGCTCATTACAAGGAAGCCGGTCGCATATTGCTGCACAAGGCATTGAGCAGGAGCCTTGGTGTTTGCAGGACCAGGTGCATCTCTCGATGCATGGTGCACATGCCTTTCCGCAGGTCAAATCGCATGCTGAGTGTGAACATCTAATCTGTATATATGATTAATATCTCCAATACCATGACCAGATGATTGATTGTAGGATTCTTACTTCGCATTTTGCCTCGCAGTAACCACAGCCCTCCTCATTATGACATATCTTGGGACACCTATGGTTGCAAACACCGTGGGGGCGGTCACATATTTTCGTGCACTTCGGGTGCTTAAATACTCTTCTTCCATCACGGACTTCCTCGAGGCAATTTCCGCAGCAATCACTGCAGTTGTGGCCACAGCTGAGAATGTCGGTGCATGGCTTGGGGCAACGGAAGATCGGGGATGTGACGTCTTTGAAACAGCCAACCTGAATTGTATGGCCACACTTAGGAACACTCTTTTCGACCTTGACGTCGCATTTAATGACTTTCAAGTTAGGCATCTGATGGCAAAAGATAGTTTTCTTAATATGACCACAAGGAAGCTCCACGTCTTGAATCTTCGCCATGCAAGGGCCACAATCTTCACCACAAAGCTTGGGACATTCGTGCTCACAGGTTGATCGGATACGTGGGCAAGGTTTCCCACATGCAAAGCCATCATGCATGACCGCCGAATGGCACTTAGCCTGGCATTGATGACCACATGGCTCGAGTCGACGGGTACACGGAAGACTGCACCCACCTTCAGGGCTCTTCCTCTCAAAGTCGTGAGGTTCATAACAGAGAATAGGCGTGTCTGAGTGGCGAGGACAACAGAGAGCCAACTCCCTGCCGACTGCATTTGCATGGGCGAGCTGAGAGTGGACACCGGCCCACATTGGAACATTGAGGTATGTTTTAGCATTTCCAATGAGATACATGCCATGCTGAGCTCGACTGAGGAGCACGTTGATGCGGTTTTCGGTGCGTAGGAAACCAACCTTGCGCTTTGAGTTGCTGCGGACTAGGGAGACAACGATCACCTTTGCCTCCTCGCCTTGGAAGTTGTCGACGGTAGCAAGGCGGAGCGTCTGGAGCAACGTCTTCTTCTCGAATGTCTTGCGGCCACTTGGCTCAGGATATTCACCTTCAAACTTCTCAAGCCCATCCGCGGCTAAGGTTTCCAAGTCCCGCTCGTTGAGACAAATTTCGAAATCATTGGTTAGCGATGCCCTGAGCTTCCGCAGCTGCCCGGTATAGGGCGTCAAGAGGGCAATATCCGTGCTCTTGTACTCTCCCTGCCGAACAAGATGCCGAACAAGAGCAGTAGCCATCTCGACCTCCCACTGGTTGCTATGAGACTTCACACGGCTGCCGTCATCTCTTGAATCTTCATCGCATTCATGGTCCAGCCAAAAGAGGTTGTTTCGCATTCCAACAACATTGGGTAGATTCATCACGCTTTCATGATCCTCCAGTTTTGGATAGACGCTCCTGATAAGTTGCGAGATCTCAGGTCTCATTCTTCGCTGTACATTGAGCTGTGCAATAGGGGCTGGCTTGAGACCTGGCTCACCGACAGCGCGTCTCTCAAACTGGCTTCTGTCTAGCTGCCATGTCTTTCCTGTGGATGTTTCAAGACTAAGCGAATGATTTTGAATCTGTGGTCGCAGCTGTCGATGATCCCCAATCTGAATGAAGTGTTCAACTCCTGGCATGAGGGCTGAGATGACATGGGCTTCCATTACCTCGGCTGCTTCCTCGCATATAATGACCTTTGTTCCTACTCGGCGCAGTGTCTCGATATGGCGGGCAAGGGCTGTGGTCGTGATTCCTACTACATCTGCTTGAATCAAGGCTCGGCGGTTGACCTCTTCATGGACTGCATTAATGTCCCCGCGAAGATTTGCAGCGTGATTAAGAGCCTCGAAAAGCGAAGCGGTTTCGATTTCCTGCCACTGTTTAAACCAGCTCATTGCAAGAATCCGGCGTTCCGGTATCGAGAGACTGTGAATATTTTCATTCGCAGCGCGTGTGAGGCCTTCCAAGCGCACATCGTCAACTTCACTCTCATTCTGGTCTTTCTGAGCTTTCATCGATTTGGCTCCAAGCCAGTTAAGTAATTTATCATCAGTGACAGTTGTGAATCCTTCCGTGTCTGGTCTCTCCAGTTGTTCATGTATAATGGGCCATTTTCGGTGCAAGAAATGCTCCATCGCGGCCCAAGACAGGCCTTTTTGAGACTGGTGTAGAGGTTCCATTGCATAACCAGCATGCTTCATGCAGTCCTCAAGACTCCCGTAGGACATGCCGAGGGTTTGCGACTCTACCCTCGTCTTCCCAATGCCTTTACTGACAACGCGAAGGTTCTTGCCTTCAAGCTCAGTGGCCTGACTACGGCCACCAATGCGTATGATTTTCTGGATACCAACATCAAGAATATGCTTTAAGAATTGGTCCAAGGCATGGTTGGTATAGCAGCTATAATTCCTGTAAGCAAAGACACAAGAAGGCATGAAATCAGTACTCACATCACAAGAATTGGGCCTAGCTTTGCCTTTTTCTTGATCTTAAGGAGAACTTGAACAAGCTTAACACCCAAATAAGACTTTCCGGTGCCCGGTGGACCTTGGATGAGGGCATACTCTCGTGTGAGAGCCGCGATAAGTCCCTGACACTGGCCATGGTCGAGACCAGTTTGAGCTTGCAGCTTCAAGAGGTCAATAGACTCAGGGGCACTCGGGTCCAATGCAATATTTTCGGCTCCAACAGTTGTGATCGAAGTTAGGGGAAAGATAAATCCTGGTTTGCGCGCGTATGCCGGTGGGGGTATGCTGTGACCATCTTCATCATCCTTACGGCTTGGCAAGATCCACTTTTGGAATGCCAACTCTCCTTCGCGTTGGATTCGCTGAAGGTTTTTCAGGATAGGGGCGAACGTGGCAGGGATCAAGCCATGGAAGTCGACCAGAATACCGGTGAGCTTCTTGCTGTAAAGCCGGCCCAGGAGGATCAGTTCCTGTTGTAGACATGCTGCAAGCTTGACCGTAATACTAGGTGGAAACCTATCAGAAACAAGACTACTCTTGTTCTGGTGCGCTTGGTCCTTGGAAGCATTCTTCACAGTGACCTCGAGGAAAATAAGCCTCCTGTGAGTTTCTTGGGACGTCAAGAAACACACTAGGCTTCCTTCCTCTAGTCGATTGGAGTCTTGCCACCATCTGCATTGCTCGTTGGATGTCTTTTTGCGAACTTGTGGTGGAGTAGCAAAGGACACGGTCGCTTCGAGCTCATTTCGCTCATTGATGAATATTTGGAGGACCCGTGCTCCCAGATAGAGGTGTGCCCCGCTATCTTTGCTTGAGAAATACGAAAATTGTGTCAAATCGTTCTGCTGTAGCAGATCTCGAAGGACATCTTTGGCTGAGCCGAAGATATCATGGCGCAGGAGTCGGAATGTTGAGTCAATGTATCTTTGCAAAGGGTCGGGGAGAAAGTGCGGCTGAAGGAAGTCGGTAGAGGGTAGATATTCTGAATTGCCGCTGACAATCTCTCCATGGGTAGGGAGGATCTGAACTTGAGAGATTTCTGCAAGGTCGTTGTCGTGTCTCCCACCAGGTGTTTGCATATCCAGCGGAAAAGACGACAGGGCTGATCCACTCTTCTGGAAATTTTCCTCATGCACCCTAGGTATAAAAAGACTGCGGTTTGCGCTAGCGATCAGTCTCTGCATGACTTCTATTCTGCTTTCAAGTCCGTCAATGTCGGCCTTCGAGCATGATTCGGTGATTTGGGAGCCCACTTCGCGGATTAGGTCGAGCAGTGCGGGAATTTCATCGTGGAATCGAGCGCGTCGGTCTCTTGACAAAAGTTGGTACAGGGTATTCAACAGTAACTTCATCATGTCCAGTGAGATGACCGGTACATTTTCGTTGGTCTCTTCACCTTTACTCTTCAGGCTCCGGCAGACACTACTCAGATATCTGATTGCTCGATCTCCATTTGTACCACCAAAGGATGTGTACAGAGTGCCAACAAATGAATCGACAGAAAGACAGTTCAAGAGAGAAGTATGGGTAATGACTTTGAGGAATGGCTCGTCGTAAGTTGGCATAGGTCGCACTCCCTCTGGATTGTCTGCATCTGCAGTTGCCAGGATAAAATCATATCCATGAAGATTGTCGTCCACAAGATCTTTGGCGAGGAATTGATGATTCTCTCTGCTGTCGCCTTCAAGAATTTCAAGAGCCCCGTTCCAGAATTGAACGATCTCTTCATGTTCCCTTCGAGAATATCCAGACCCTAAGATCCCATTTCTAAGAAGTCTCTTCCAGTCGAAATATTGATTCCGAGCGTCCAGATCATGAGTTATCGGATGGTATGCAGCCGGGTTTGACTTGAAGTCGGAAGCCTCGTTCACATCGTGTGAGAATCTGCACCTCTCACCGTAGTGGCACCTGCCACGTTGAAAGTGTACACAGAATGTTTCCGACTGATTGCGCTTTCTGAAGCTGTTGGGTCCTCCTCGGTTGCTCGTATTGCCCCGAGATCGCCAATTTCCGCGATGAGCCATCGTGAAAGGAGATAGCTGTAGAATTTGTAGCTCTCGTAATCCTTAAAGAAGTAAAAATATTTCTTAACGCGGAAGGTTGCACAGATGGATGAGTGGATGTGGTTGGCCGGAGAAGGGAAAGATAATCTTGGATACGCCAAGCAGGTATCCTCTTTGATAAGAGGGACGTAAGTAAGACTACCTTGTACTCTGTACATCTGACGTCTAAGGTCTTGCAGGACAACTCATACCTGCATCACCCCTCTTTTCAAAATCTCTTTACGTGGGGAGGGTTATTTGAAGGGAGGTGATATTCAATATTTGCCTTTTATCTCCGCTCGCTTTTTTGGTTCAAATGTGAAGGAGGGTTGGATGGAAATAGATAAATTCGGTAAAAGAAGTTCGCTTCGAAGGATAATTTGCGTTATGATCTCGCTGTGAGAAAGGTGCATAATGAAGCTAGTAGTCAGCGAAAACTCTTTCCAAATAAAGAGAATAGGCTTACCTATCTCGTTGTCGGTCTGTTTGCGTAACACGGTACTGCATACCCTAGGCTTTGGGGGTTAGACATCACGCGGTCATTATCCAACGGACCTTATCGACAAGTAAAGACGTACCTGCCCTATCCCTTGCCAGTAACAGGCCAGCTTGCTTAATGCTGATGGTCTCTGATTGAGCCATCAGGTCCTAAATACATATCGGCCATTTCGGGGATGATTGGCTCTTAAATGTTGCATAAGATGCCTAGTGGAGACGGGCGACGTCTTACTATCCAGAACTGCGAACTCCAAACCATGAAATCTCAAACTGTGGACACTCCCATCTTTGCCCAACTCTCTAGGTTAGCCGGTGATCCAATACTGTAGTTGGCAGCGCTATGGACGTTTAGCTAGCGACTCTCCCACGGACACCACTTTCAGGCCATTTTTGGTACGAGTCAGCGGGTCGCCTTCCATTCCGGCTCGCCGGATCTCCAGGTTAAAAGGCAAGACCGCGGGGCCACCAATAATGCAGTGACGCCTCAACGGTCCAGACTCCGCATCCAACCGATGATTGGTTTACAGGAAGATAACTAAACGTGCTGTTGTGGCGGAACTAACCGTAACTAGTTAACTAACTAATGGACCGAGCTTACCATACCAATATCGCGCCCTATCTCCCCCCCGACCTGTCCGAGTTCGATGCGTTGTCATCACTTCTGCCCACAAGTCTAGGGCCCTCGCCATGAGGTCAATCATATCAGTCCCAATATCGATATGGCCGTCGGGGAATACGGTGAATGGCTTGCATCAAATGTGTCTGATGATGCTCTCAAAGCTGCATTCCGACAAGCGTGCGATATCACCTTGTCAGAGGACTTTGAGCTTGCGCACTGGTTCCATATAGAAGAGGGCTCCGTATGGAAGATGAACTCATGCATGAACCTCATCGGGGGCGTATATGGAGACTCACGGAGACCTGATTGCTAACCCAAAACAGGGGTGGCAAGGAGCGATTAGCAGCGAGCTAGGGAATCACGGGCGAAGTACCGTTTAAAAAAAGAAGTGGGGGAGTAGCAATGGATCAGAGGAGCCAATGTGTGATTGGTTCCTGGCTACTCCTCGCTCCACCTTGGAGAAGCGTCCCAAGCAGGCTTGCGTCTTCTGACAGAGCCCGCCCTGGGACAGACCACGGTTTTCTCTTCTCTCCAAGCTATCCCATGCATGCTTGCTTCTTCTGATAGAGTCCTTTGGTTTTAACCCGGAGTTAGGGCAGTGCTTGGCGTCGGCTGAACGCCCACGAGCTTCCTACTCAGATTGTGATATGTCATTTGAATGTTACTAGTCGCTATTTGTATTGGGCTCTTCGTGCATTCGGCTGACGCCTCTAGGAAGCCCCGGCAGTTCGCCACGCTTCTAGAGTCTAGACTGCCCTGCTACATAGTCGTCGGTCGCCTCGGTCGAGGTCGCTTCCAGCCCTAGATTTAGGTTTCGGATAGACAAAAGCTAGCTAAAACGTGATCTTAGCTATTATTTCTTTACTAGAAACCCTCGAACTGATGCTTGGGAAATTCTTTGTTATTGTAGTTAGGGGGCACGGCTGAATTTACCGCCGCATTGTCGGTAGCGGAGGAATAGGAAGAGATCTGGGAGGCCAGAGCGCAGGGGTGCTTATCCTAAGTGTAGTGGGATTATCATCATCTTACTCACTGAAATGGAACTATTCATGCGCCCAATAGCCCTTGTATGTTTACTCGTAATATGGTGAATACCATCTACCGACATCCCCACGTCAAGCCACAAAGTCGTCAGCGCGATGGATTTTTACCACTGGATGGAAAGGATGCTAATTCCCTCACATATGAGGCTCTGGCAACCCCTCTCATACCATGTGTACGTCCTTTAGGTTGGAGTCCCACTTTACTGTACAGTACATTCCTGTTCTAGCCTGCGCTTTGGTCTTTCGATGCAGCTAATTGTAAGAAACCAGAAACACTGCTTCCGTCCTTGGGGACGCGTCTGTACCCTCCTCATATCTTAACGCGATAGAAACTCCTGGAACAAGATCGTACGGTTAGGTGCAAACAGGAATCGCGGCTGCACAGCTTCTTCCAGGGTCGCGATTCTGAACCGCCAACTGACTGTCTGACCAATGGATACATAGTATTTATCTCAAACCGCCAAATTCAATCCGTGGTTCCGTACCATAACAAAGCTCATTTCCCGTGTGCTTCTCGTTGCTATATACAACAGCTTCAACTCCACTCTTGACGGTGCATACAAAGTTGAAGCATATTCCCAGAAAAAATTCTTTCCGTGAAGACTATCGGGTTCTTCACAGAATTTCCATTTGCCTTTTAGCATAACACTCCTCGTCCTTGAACGGCCGGTTTGTCCAAAGCTCCTTATTCTTCATGGGACCCTACGCAGAGAGTAACAGGATCTATTGCTCGAACGTGGTATGGTGGGACTAATTGACTCATGTTCTATTTGCAGGTAACTGAAAGAGTTCGACCAAGCAAAATCAAACGACATAAATAGCGCAGGCCCAATCCTGGTTGAACTCCAACTTAAAGAGAAGGACTAGCGCATTGATTTTCCTCGGCCTGATCATCAACCATGACAATGCATCCATATTTTCAGGCGTATTATGTAGGGTAGAACCCTCTAAGCCAACCGGTGGCGGCACATTATCAAATGTGGACTGGGCTAGGTCCAAATGTGCGGGTCTTGCATACCTAACAACTGGAAAGAATCGAGATCCGCCGGAGTGGAGGAACCAGAGCCCAAGGTATTGGTTCCTATATCTAGACTAGGAACAGACTAGGGGGTTTGGTACGAGCATGTTTTCATAGGCTGTGGTTTTAACGAATTAACCTCCGAGTTCGAAGGCATGCGCCAGATACCGAGATCGTGGGCGAACTCACTAAGCTCACACTAGGAAGGCTTCCGTCGTGGGATCTATAGAGATCAAATCAGTACGGTGTTAAATAAATTGCGTAACAAATCAAGGCAGAAGTTGAAATGGCTTAGGCTATATACCGTCATTTTCTCCCACCTGCCAGTCCAATAGCACTTGATTTCCGGGCATATCGAGACAACGCATGGTTGGCATCAACGATAGTATACCCGCTTTGGCGGTCATATCCTGCCTCTCGGCCTCCGGGAGAGATTAAAGGGCTAAGAGGTTGTATCGAACCAAAGTAGGGAACTGAAAATTATTAGCAGTCTATTAATGATATCTGAGCTCTGGTACTTACTCCTTTAGACCTTGGAAATTGCCAATAGCCCGATAAATCCTTATTTGAGGATGAGTCCTTAGGATCTTTTAATATCGAACAATTTGGCTTAGATAGTCCACGACCCTATTGCGGTATGAAGCCTTCCTCCTGGGACATATTGTAATACCCTTATTAACGCAGTGGGAAAAGTAGTAGGCAGAGTAAGGATAATTTCTACACGAAATAGGACGGAGATTCCGAACTTCTATGTAACTAGGGCTAGTTTTCTAAAAGCGGCGGTTTGGCCGAGTGGTCTAAGGCGATTGACTAGAAATCAATTCCGTTCGCGGGCGCATGTTCGAATCATGCAGCCGTCGTGCTCGTCTATTTTTTGCATGCCATTGCCGTAGAAAAGCAAAAACGTATATTTTTGACAAAACCCTATCTTAAATATAGCCTAGCTAAAATATTAGCTCGAGATTTCAACGTTGCCTAGGGAAGCACGAATCGCGGTTCTCTATCTCGTCCTTTGTATTATGGCCTTACCGTAAAAAGAATACACGGGTTTGACTAAGTACTCTGGACGTGTGTTGCTTGATTAACGTATTTCACCACCGAACCGCCCACACCACCGAGCCGCCCACACCACCGAGCCGCCCACCCCAACGAAAACGCGTCCATGAATTAGCACTTAGTCAATTCAACCACCCACCATGCCACCAATTCGCTCTCGAAGCTCTAGGAATTTAATAGAGCAAGAGGGTAGGATTTTACTAGCTATCTAGGCTTATAAAAATCAAGAAATATGCTCAATACGTGAATTGGCACGCCGTTTTAACATACCCCGTACAACCTTACGCGACCGCCTCTCCGGCTATACTCAACGGAGTACTATACGCGCTAATTGCTCGAAATTGACTAGAATTGAAGAGGAATCTCTTGAAAAATAGATTCTCTCTATAAATCTACGTAGAGTAGCCCCCCGGCCCTCTATAATACGAGAAATAGTAGATCTTCTTCTTTAAAAGCGTAGAACTACCCTAGTTCCTTCGGTCGGCTAAAATTAGGTTACGAAATTTATTAAACGACGTCCTCTCCTCTCCTCCCGATTCTCGAAACGGTATAACTACGAGCGTATAAAATATAAAGACCCTAAAATCATTATAGAGTAGTTTAACTTAGTTTAAAAGACAATCCTTTAATTTAGAATCGACCCTAACGATATCTATAACTTTAATAAGACCGGCTTTATAATAGGATTGACTATAACAAAGGTTATTACGAGGAGTAAATACTATAGTCGGAGGCCGGTTTTATAACCTAGAAATCGAGAGTAGGTAACTATTATTAAGTATACGAATGCCTCTAGGTAGGCGCTTCCTCTATATATGATTTTTAAAGGTAAAGTCTTTATTAAATTATAGTTCGACGGCCTCCCGGAGGATTAGCGTTTTAAAGTTAGTCCTAACGGCTAGACTTCCGATAAAATTAGCCTTCGCTAGCTTAAAAAGCTCTTTATTCCTAGTACTACACGTACGAAGGGGGTATACCGGCTTTTAATACTTAATAGTTACGGAAGTTATTTAATACCTAAATTTGACGAAATTTACGAGTAAAATAAGATAATACTAATCTATATACTAGCGTATTTATCTTATCTTTTATAACCTCTTAATATTAGTTATTTTACGGTATTAAAACGTATATACGGTCGGATAGTTAAGATAAAGATACGGAATAGGATTAACTATATTAACAAACTTAACTTCCTCGAAGTATACCCCTAGGTACGAATTAAAGCTTTTAAATCGGAGACTATTAAAAATAGCTTCGTAGTAGCCGGTTTAGTACTATTTAGACCCGACCGAGTGATCTTAAAGCTTAATATCTAGCTTCGAACCCCGACCCCCTCTCTAAGCCGGGGTAGTAATTAGGACCCTAAAACCCTATCGAACTACGTCTAACTATAAAAGTAAGTGTTACGGACCTGTCCGTCACCAATCAGTGGTGACCCACCAGGCACACCAATGGGCCATCGAGAGCCAACCAGGATACCTGTTAGCAGATCACGTACAAGCTCACTGAGCAAGAGCATGATCCGCCCTGAGCGGATCCACCCCGTAGAGGATTTCCGATATATAGGTTGCTCTACGTACTAGACAACCACTACTCAGCATCACGTGATTATATAGGTAGTAGAAGGGTAGTAAGTAGATCGGTAGAATCCGCCAAGGCGATTCTACTATTCTACTATCTACTTGTTACGCACTAGCTAACTGGTCACAGTTAGGTTAGATAGGTTCAGGGTATACTTGCCTTAATACTCCTCGAATGGTCTAACGTCAATGATCCGGTCTCAACTGAGCTAATGCCGCGTAGGGCCTTATAGTAGCCTAAGTCCTTTTGAGCGATTAAGGAACTAATACTAGGTAGAGCGCCGAGTAGATCTATACCGGGGTATTAGTCTACTCGTAAGTGTTGTTAAGTTATAATTAAGTAAAGAGTTATAGTAATCCAAAAGGTAAATATAAGTAATAATATATAATTAAAGACGAAGAACCAAACTAAGTATATAAGGGAGTATCCTTATATATCCTTCGTTTCCTACTCCCTAGTATACTCCTAGAGTATATCCGGGAGTTACCGTATACTTCTACGTATACTCCTAGAGTCGACGTAGGAGTTATAGTTACGTATTTCCCTAGTATAGTAGTTATCTAGTACGTAGAGTAACCTATATATCGGAAATCCTCTACGGGGTAGATCCGT